GAAGCTGAGCCCTGCACAAAGCGAATATTTAAAGCCCTGACACTAGGGAGGTTGAGGCAGGAGGATATCTGTGAATTAGAGGCCAGCCTGGACAACAAAGACCTGGAGCCAGAAATAAACAAAAAGTAAATAAGAATTTAAAAAATGAAAACAGGATATTTAAACAACATATTCCACAAAACATCACCTGTAAAATTATTTAAATTCTCCAGGGATTTGAGTAATTTTTTGAAATTACCCTACACCAGGCCTGGTTTTAAGGCATGTCCACATGGACATCAGAGGACAACCTCAGCTGTTTGTCCTCAGGTACCATCTGTCTTGGTCTCTCACTGACCTGGCACTCAGTAATTTGGCCAGGCTGCCTGGCCAGTAACCTCCAGAGCTTTATTTCTCTCTTCCTCCCCTGGGAGGAGGACTACACCTCACCCATCTTTTACCTTTCTTAAAAGGTGAGATCTGGGATTCGAACTCAGATCCTTGTGTTTCAAACACTTTACTGAGCTATCGTCCCAGCCTGGAAGAATTGCTTTCTAAAACAAAAGACAAGACTCCTTTACAGTTTTCCAATGCCTGCTTTCTATTAGTAGGGTTTGGAAATGTAGAGTTACACTGTTTATGAGTGCTCACTTCAACTCAAAGTGTTCTTCACATTAACAACACTTTCAGGGAAAATGCTTAAGACTGACAGGCCCTCCCTAGTGACACACACTCTTGTTAGAACTTGGTTAGAGTTGTCTGAGTTTATCTTTTTTTTTCTTTCTCTCTACTTTTAAATTAGAAACAAGATTATTTTACATGTCAATCCCAGTACCCTCTGCCTCCCCTCCTCACCTGTCCCCCGCCCCCCAACACCCTACCTATCCCATACCCTTTCTGCTCCCCAGGGAGGGCAAGGACTTCCATAGGGGGGTCTTCAGAGTCTGTCATATCCTTTGGGATAGGGCCTAGGCCCACCCCCTGTGTCTAGGCTCAGGTAGTATCTCTCTATGTGGAATGGGCTCCCAAAATCCATTCCTATGCTAGGGAGAAGTACTGAGCTACTACAAAAGGCCCCATAGATATCCAAGGTCTCCTCACTGACACCCACATTCAGGGGGTCTGGATCAGTCCCATGCTGGTTTCCCAACTATCAGTCTAGGAACCGAGAGCTCCCCGTTGTTCAGGTCAGCTATTTCTGTGGGTTTCACCAGCCTGGTCTTGACCCTTTGCTCATCATTCTTCCTTCCCTGCAACGGGCTTCTAGTTCAGTTCAGTGTTTAGCTGTGGGTGTCTGCTTCCATTTCCACCAGCTGCTGAGTGAGGGCTATAGAATGGCATATAAGTCAGTCATCAATCTCATTATCAGGGGAGGGCATTTAAGGTAGCCTCTCATCTGTTGCTTAGATTGTTAGTTGGTGTCACTTTGTAGATCTCCAGACATTTCCCTAGTGCCTGATTTCTCTTTAAACCTATAATGGCTCCCTCTATATGCTCTCTCTCTCTCTCTCTCTCTCTCTCTCTCTCTCGAGACAGGGTTTCTCTGTGGCTTTGGAGGTTATCCTGGAACTAGTTCTTGTAGACCAGGCTGGTCTCGAACTCACAGAGATCTGCCTGCCTCTGCCTCCCGAGTGCTGGGATTAAAGGTGGGCGGTGCCACCCCCGCCTGGTTATTATAGTATCTCTTATCTTGCTCTCTTCTATTCTTCCCCCAACTCAAACTTCCTGCTCCCTCATGTCCTCCTCACCTGTTCTCTTCTCCCCTTCTCATTCTCCAAGCTCCCTCCCTCCTCCTCTCATGAGTTTATCTTGACACCAAGTAAAAGACACTCTGTAAAAAGAAAACAGATGACTAAGCATGGTGACTCATGTCTACAATGCCAGTAATCTGAGAGGCTGAGGCAGGAGAATTGCTATGATTTTGAGGTCACACAGCAAGACCCTGTCTCTTAAAAATAAATATAAAAGATCCAGGAATGCTAGTGCATGCCTTTAACCCCAGGCAAAAGCAGGCAGATGTTTGTGAGTTCAAGGCCAGTCTGGTGACATATTGCAGTGTTTTTCAACCTTCCTAATTCAGTTTCTTATAAAATTTTAGGATTGGTACTTCATAACTGTAAGTTTGCTACTGTTATGAACCATACAAGATATCTGATACATGACCCAAAAGGGTTGAGAACCCCTGACATACTGCGTTCTAATCAGCCAGGGTAATGTGGGGGAGACCCTATCTCAAAGGGGGAAAAAACTTAAAAGAGAATTTTTTAAAAACATATGAGAAGATGCCCAATGTACTTATGAGAAAAACTGAAATTAAAACAATGAGCTACCACCCCATAAAAACATACTGAGTGTTGACAGAGGTACAAAAGATGTAAAATTCCCATGCTTGCTGGTGGAAACATAAAACATCACAAACATTTTGGGAAAATATAGGTTGTTTCTTTAAAATAAACTTTTTAATACACGTGTGTGCGAGTGTGTGCATGTGCCATACTTGCATGTACAGGTCAGAGGATGGGTTTTGGGAGTTGGTTCTCTCTGTCCACAATGTCTATTCTAAGGGGTCATGCACAGGTCATCAGGCTTGGAAGCAAGTGTTTTTAATTTCTGAGGCATCTCACTCACTCAGTTGTTTGTTACAAAATTAAAGAGAAACCTTTTACCTGCCAGCCATTGGACTTGGAGGTATGTATCTAAGAGAAATGAAAGTATGTCTATGTTAATGGTATGTTCATGAATGACTGTAGCAGCTCTCCAGGTGGTCCCTGACTGACAGTGGTTTAGGATTTCTCAATCTACAGTCCTGTGAAAGTGACATGCATCCAGAAGGAACTGAACTTCAAATTATAAATTCCTTTTTGCACTTTTGTTTTTTGTTTTGTTTTTAGAGATAGGGTTTCTCTGTGTAGCTTTGGAGCCTGTCCTGGAACTCACTTTGTAGACCAGGCTGGCCTTGAATTCAGACAGATCCACCTGCCTCTGCCTCCTGAGTGCTGGGATTAAATGCATATGGGCATATGCCATCAATGCCAGGCTGCATTTTTGTTCTTAAGACAGTCTTTCTGGAATTTGCTATGTAGACCAGCTGGCCTTGAATTCACAGAGATCTACCTACCTCTGCCTCCCCAGTGCCTGGATTAAACGGTTATACCAACATGCCCAGCTGAACTACAAATTCGTATCTTTTCCTAGGAAAGTGCTATGTGGTCTAAGGCTTTCTCCTCATATTGAGCATCAGTAGGGAATTGCAGTTCTAGTCAACCAGGTGATCAAGAGGATAAACAATCACTCAGGCGCTTCACAACTGTAATCCTAGCACTTGTGGTGACAAGAAGATTGCTGCAAGTTGGAGGCCAGCCTGGGCTACATAGCGAGTTCTAGGCTAGTTTAGGCTACAGGGTAAGGCCCTGTCAAAAAATAAAACAAGAATGAGAACAACAGTGAGCCAGAGAACAATTGAAGATGATCTATGATGTACTGTGTGTTGTTAAACTTTGATGCTCAGTAGATTGGGTGTTATTTGAATGTAATTGGCCCACATAATTTCATAGGGTGTGGCACTGTTAGAAGGTGTGGCTTTGCTGGAGTGGGTATGGCCTTGTTGGAGGAAGCATGTTATTATGGGGTTGGGCTTTAAGGTTTTCTTTCCTTCTTCTTCTTCTTCTTCTTCTTCTTCTTCTTCTTCTTCTTCTTCTTCTTCTTCTTCTTTCTTTTTTGAGACAGGGTTTCTCTGTGGCTTTGGACACTGTCCTGGAACTAGCTCTTGTAGACCCAGCTGGTCTCGAACTCACAGAGATCCACCTGCCCCTACCTCCCGAGTGCTGGGATTAAAGGCATGTGCCACCAACGCCTGGTGGGCTTTAAGGTTTTCTATGCTCAAGATGCCACCCATGTCTCAGTCAACTTCCTGTTGCCTGCAAGATGTAGGATTCTAAGCTATTCCTTTTGTACCACATCTGCCTTCACACTTCCTACCATGACGATAATGGACTGAACCTCTGAGAGAGCCACCCCAATTACATGTTTTACTTTATAAGAGTCATGATGTCTCTTCATAGCAACAAAAACTCTAAGACGGGTGTGTTAATTTTATTTCAACTTATACAATATTGTTAATTTATTATGGGTTTATTTGTAGTATCACCAAACTTTAATCAACTAGCAGATTAATCAGCAAGGGAAGTGATAAACACACACTCTTCTGTATCCCTGTGCTACAGGAATGTGCTAATGATATATCCTACAACGTGAACTTCAAGATTTAAAAATTTGTTTTTTATTATTCTTAGAGAGTGTATATGATGTATGAGTGTGGACATGCGTATGCCACAGAATGCATATGGAGGTCAGAGGACAACTGTGTGGAGTTTGTTCTTTCCTTCTTTCCTTGGGGTTGTTCGGGTATTGAACTCAGGCTGGAAGGCTTGCTCCAGCAAGAGTTTTATTCACTGAGCCATCTTGCCAATCCTGAAGACAATTTTGCTAAGTTAAAGAAGCCTTGAGGATGACAGCTACATCCATTCTCTGGTTGTGATGTTTATGGAGAAGGGTTGTGTGTCTCTCAAACTGCACTTTATCTGTTGTTTGTGGTTCATCAGTTGTGTTTCAATAACAAAATTAATAATTATCCTAATTTTTTTTGGAGACAGGTTTTCTCTGTGTAACAGCCCTGGCTGTTTTGAAACTCACTTTGTAGACCAGGCTGGCCTGGAACTCACAGAAATTGGCCTGCCTCTGCCTCCTGAGTACTGGGATTAAAGGCGTGCACCATCACCTGCCGGTTTACTCTCAAATTTTTAATTTTTTAAAAATTCTAATTTCATTTTATTTGTTCTGTATGTGAGTGTGTATATGTGTGCCACATTTTTCAATGTAGGGCAGCTGGCTGTCTTCCTCCTCTATGTGTGTCCTGGAAACCAAACTTAGGTCATGAGGCTGTGCTGCAGGAGCCTTTACTCACTGAGGTGTCACTTTGGTTATCCCCAATGCTAAACATCCTCCTCTCTTTCCTTCTTTAGGAAACAGGCTCCCGCCGTGTAGCTCTGGCTACTCTTGAACTGGAAGAGATCCACCTGCCTCTTCCTTCTGAACCCTGGGATTAAAGGGGTGCTTCAACATGCCTGCCTTTCATTACTGACACAGCCTTACTTATTCCTGGCGGTGAGTTCAATGAGAAGAACCCAGCTGCACTGACAGAACCCACCAGAACCAACAGTACTCCAGTAAGTGTCAGTGGCAGAGCCGAGAACAAATGTACTTCCAGGGAGAATAATTGATTGATTATAGTTGATAATAATAGTTGATTACAGGAATGGAACACTTGTTAATGATCATTTTGAAGCCACACAGAGGGACAGGAGAGTTAAATCCCCACAGTTGTGAGTGCTGTCACTGTCCATCAGCAGTACCATTTCATGTCACTAACCTTTCAAACTCTGTTGCCCTTAACAGTAACTTGTTAAAGACTAGAATCCACTCCTTTGGTGACACAAATGAATAAAATTCCCAAGCATTCTATCCAGTATGATTTAGGACGATTAAAATGGCATTGACCACAATTTACCCACTGTGGCCAAAAGAAGCCCTGAGGCTTGGGGTTCTGCAGGAGATCTGGGGCTGAAGCTGTAATTTCTACTTCAAATCTGGCTGCCAGGTTTCAAGTATTAGTTCTAAAAAATGGGTTTGGTCTGGTGGATGACACAGGGCCACTATCACAGGACTGGAAAAACAGCTCCAACCACTTATCCCATGATATTGGGTCAGTTGCATCATCTTTCTGTGGAAAGAATGCCCTAATTGGTCCTAGTACCTTCAGAATCAATCGGTAAATCGTAAGTCATTTCACATTTCTGCCTATTCAACTCATCGTTGCTCTATTACACTGTATCTTCCAGATTCTTCTAGCTAATAATTTTGTGCCCTTTCCTTTTCTTTATAGCTCAGGCTGACCTCCAACTCAAACTCACAGCAATCCTCTTGGTGCTGGGATCGCAAGGTGGGGACACCACGCCATACTTCCTTATTTCTATCCCAGAAAGGTTCGACTTGGGCTATTTGGGCTCTTTTCATGCAAGCAGTCATTCCTTGTTCTGTGCTCTCATCTAGAACATTAGCTTGTATTTGGGAAATAAAACTCATATCAGAACTGAAACCTGTCCTACGTTTGCTCCAGAACGCCAAGTAGGGAGGTGGTGACCTTGGTCATATTAGGAACCTGAGTTGCAGCCTTCAAGCCACTGAAACAGGTATGAATTCTATCTAGTAGTTGTGGCTAAGTAAATGGGTTAACCTTTGGGAGTCCTACAGTCCAGTGTGGTCCCACGAGCACAGGCAAGGGGCAATGTTCTGTTCTCACCTTCCTCTATCAGTTTGCCTTTGAGATCAGAAGAAAGGAAGGGTACAGGAAAGAAGACAGAGTGCTGATTCAAAGAGATCCCTGATTAAAAAAAGCAAACAAAAGCAGGTAGACTCCTTATTCAAGGCAGTCCTCTAATTAAAAATAAAGGAACAAACAAAAACTAGGCAGAGCAACAGCCACTTAAGACTTTCGGACTGGGTGAACTCCCTTCCTCTAAAGATGTTAGCAGAGGGTAACTGGTGCGAATCCAGAAAAGGACCTGAAAAGCCCCCAAGGTTTTGTCACAATACTTTCCCAATTTGTTTCGCACTGCTTTTAAAGTTTAGACAGAACGAGCAGGAATTTGGCAAAGAACTTTGACCGAGGCAGAGGTCAGACCCACAGGTGCGGCAGCTGCGTGGGGAGGGAGGACCTGGCAGGTGTTGATGCAGGCCTCCCTGTGCCAGACATGTGGGCTCGGAGGCTGCTCCAGGGGTTTCCAGCGCAGCAGCATCGGGGCGCGCTGTGCTCCGGGAGGAGGCGGATGGAGTGG